AAAGTAATTGTCGTATCGAAGTAATTCTTTCACTAGTATTTTTTATTTTTGACAAAGAATATGGAGTGCTAATAAAAAAAAATTGTTAACATTCTTCATTTTGTTCGTTAAAGACAATTAAATGAAGTATAAATAGATGTCAAATATTGTTAAGTATATTCCACAAATGAAACCTGCATCGTGTCTTTTAATAACATATCCGTTGTTATAATATTACTTATCTAGTTGGAATTTTAAATTGAGATTTTTAACTGTACCTACTACTAACGTTGAAAGAACGTTTTCTTGTATTTGCTACTGGTTGTACATGTATGTTGATAGCCCTATCGTGTTGAATGCATGATTAATGCAAATATTTAGAACTTGAATATAAGCACGTGCCTAAATTTCAAAGGTTGATTATTTTGCGAACTTCCGTTAGAATGAACTCCTAAATTGGGAATAATAGCGGGTAATAATTACATAACTTTTTTTTTCATTTGACTTTAATCTGATAGCAATTCTAATGATCTATATGTGGGGTTCACCCTAGTCGATTCGATTCCATCCATGGAGAACATAAATAGGCTGATGATGAATGGAGATAATATTACGGGGAAATCGTTCTTTTATGTTTTTATGTAACAGAGTAGAGAAATAGGACTACTGCCTTTTTTATTAGCTATATTAAAATTAAACTTTTTTATTAAATAAAATTTATCAAATAATAAATACAAAAAATTACTACATGACATATACTGCTTAGATTCTAAGTACCTAAAGCTCTTGTTGATGTTACTCGTAGTAACTGGAACAACGAAGGTATCTCAACAACCAGACCTAAGAAAATGTAGATAAGTTCATTTTCTATATTGACTCCACTGGGAATCGAATCCGGTACCTCAGAGGTGGAGATATTTTTAAACTGGCGTTTGGCGCCACTAGGCTACGCAAATCGTCAAATGTTTGAACTCAATTTTACATATTGATAGAGAAAGAAGGGCGTTGTGGTTAGCAAATGAAGCCATAAAAGACCTCGTTTTCACCTCACTTTTCCTTAACGATAGCTGCCTTGGTAAACAAAATTCAACAATGGTATAAGGCCTTTCTTGAGTTGCCTCTTAATAACTTGTTACTATATATATATTAGCTGAATATTAACATATAGGCTTTGATTATTTATAAAGGCTAAAATAAGTACAAACCCAATATTCAACTACTAACAGTGTAGCTCGCAGTTTTCTCGTACTACCTACAACATCAACTTTATTATTTTGATCTTAACAGTTATCTTCTTTAATTTCTTATATTGATGCAGTTACAGTAAACATTGGTATAAGTAATTTGTTCGCGCCCTCAGTTATTTATTATCAGTTTGTTTCGCGAGCTTGTTGAACTTGTGCAAAAAATCTTGTCGTTTGTAATCATATTTTTGAGATTGCTATTGATGAAAAAAATAACGTCCATCTATATTAATCTATCGAGAATCGAGAAACATTACTTTGACATCTTTGAGCATACTGATACTAAAAACAGCAATTGTTACAATATTTACATTTTTTTCTTTGGGTTCAAAACAAATATTGTGAATATAATTTTGTTTGTTACTTCTAAATAGACATATGATAGAAAAAAATATTGTAAAACAAAAGTTGCATGTCGATATATTTTTTAGGAATGCCAAAGGATGAATAATGTACTTTGGTATCTGCAAATGCATACATAATTTCAGGTCTGGGAAAGGATATAGACTTTTTTACATAAAATATCAATAAATGACTATGACACAAGATAAGAAAACATGTTTATTTACTAAACAAATATCTATATGCTTATAGAAATTGAATTACTTTGGAAATTTGCAATTTTTCCGTCGAAGATGCACATAGCGAGTCGTCTATAGGTCGCAACGAATTTTCCTTTAGGGCTGCTACATACAAATATACAAATAATAGTTTAATGTTCACGTGTAATCATTTGAGAACTGCAGACATATTTGTATTATTAGGTATTCCTGATTATAATTGAAATACGTCGATATTTTTCTACGTGCTTTTTTGATAAATTTATGATTTGCATAAGAAAATATTATTAGCTATTATCAAATTCACGGTACAAATATATGAACAGATAAATTTTTAGTGTTTGTTTCTAACAAAATAAACCCGAACACTACTAAACCTATTTTGAATTTCTTTCACCAACACAACAGAATGCTAATATTACGGCAGAGGGACGTGATTGGGTTAACTTAATCACTGATAATATTCTACGCAATAAAACTATAGTATGAATATTAAAAATCACAACAACCAACTAACTATAAATTAGGCAATCATCAGGTAGACAGAGCTTTTACTATAACTTTTTTTTAAATCGTTCTTTTTATAGATTTTATGTATCTTCAGAAAATTTTTACATATCCTAGGCTTTCAAGGTTTCGAGTAAGAAGAATAATTATTTGAACAAAGTATCAAAGTATTCAAATTCAAGTAATCTTAGATATTATCAAGCTATTAATATTGCCACTTGTCCTTCAGGTTGGCCATGATTTGCCATGACCCGCCAAGCACGGAGGAGATATAATTTTTGGTCACCCGTCTTACGTCCGGCCTTTACCAAATTGCATAACTTCCGAATCGTAGATCGAACGCGCTTTCTCAAGTGAAAGTATGTATTTATAAAACAGTGAAAATCTTTGAAAATTATGACTTTTACTTTGATAACATTTTACAGAAAAACAAATAAAAATAATAAGCATTTTAAATTAATTGAGAAAGTCTATGGGCGAAACCTTCCTTTCAGTTTCAGTTCTTTTTTAGCAGTGTAGCATAATAATGTACCTACATAATAGCATAATACATAATAGCTCATTATATTTTATTAACTAGGTCACATGATCGTCAGCCCTAGTAAGTATTGACGTAATATTATTGGTAGCATTTAGCTGATGCGTGTGCATTCTAATGCGATTGTCCGCCGCCGCCGCCAATCCCTCGCCTACTTACACATACCTACGCCTTTAACTGTAATAAGCAAATTGACCCTCTTAACGTTTTCCTTGCTATACAGCAAAAGTGTTAGTAATCCAATAGAGATAACATTATATTGTATAAAACAAGTGTTCATGATAGCTTCTCATGGTTTCCGTTCAGAAAAAATCTTTTGACAATTCATAAATCATCGTACTTACATCAAACAATTTGCAAAAACATATCTCTAACTCTCTTTGTTAATTCCTTCGATCATAAAACATGTAACACGTTTGCTATCTTGTCAGTTTATCTTATTCAAAATTCACAGGAAAAAATAATAATTTCAATTTTCCTCCTTCTTCAATTGTAACTATTGATACAATAGCAGAGACTAGTTACGACAGGTCACCAGGGCTTCCCCCACATGAGGATACAAAGTCATAAAAATGAAAGAAAATTAACTCAGCGGAATTTAAATGCAGAATTCACGTTTTGTTGAGACTTGAGTGCGTAAGTTTTCTTCTCTGATAAATTAATAGGTGATATCGATAAAATTACAATTCTCTCTTTTTTTCTACGTTCGTGCTTTGGTAATGTCCACTTCTTTAAGAGGCAGAAAAAAAGTTGAGCATAATTTAGATAAAGATAAATACAAGAATATTAGCAAGTAAACATTCTAATTGAAAGTTTTTCTTATCGTTTTTCATTTTTTACTGTAATTATTGATGAGTTTCATAATTAAAACAAACGTTACCGCTTTTTTGTAGTATTAAATTATAGAAAGAACAGGTTTAACGTACTTAAACGAATTATGCACATCGTGATTATCTAACGAACGGCACGCTGGAATAACGAATGCCGTTATGGCACCCACAGAGCCTGGTAAAGGGCTTTATATTATTTATTTTAGTTTTATTTTATTAATATTTTTATCCATACGCCTTTATCATCTGATTATGAGTAAGGAATAAATATAATTTTATTAAATTTGATTAGTTTGGTGACACAACATTAATGAATAGTTTTTATTATGAGGGTTTTTAAGGATTGCAGATGCAACTATATGACGCGTTCTTAAAAAAATATTCTTTCTTTCAATTGTGCGAGGTTGGTCATTTTATATTCGTATAGAAATGGATATAGAAGCCCAGGGTGGCCCAGACACATGTTTTACGATCGAATTGCCCGCGTGCCATTAGAAGGTGATGTCAGTAGCTAAGGAGCTGGCGAGCATGTATGAAAAGAGTAATAAATGTCAAGGAAACGAAAGACACCATAAAAAGACCGTGCCTTTATAGCGCTGCTACACCGGAAGGGATTTGACGTGAACTATAAGACCTATAGATAGCTAGATAGTCATGAATTTTGGAGTACTTACTATATTTTTGAAAGTTACCTCACTACTTGAATGTCTACAATAGGACAATATCTATAATGAGTTAGTCAACTCCGTCACTGTATTCGTCAGTGTAGTGGAGCATATACATAAACAGTTGGTCCCAGGTGTGGCGCACGCGATCAAACCATTTCTGTCGATCATCGTAAACCTTCAACTATATGGCTGCCTTCGATAAACACAATACTTTATTTATACGACTATCTACCATCATAAACTGTATTTAAAAGAAGCTAGGCTGATGTATTATAGGTGATGTCTACAATGCCAAATAACAAAAGCAGAAAGTTTGAATCCTTGTTATTCATGTCTGAGTTCCAATAAACTTTAAGTTCAGTTATTAATATCTGAGTTGAATTCGAGTTAGGACAGATTAATAGAGTAAAGATTTTGATTTCGAATCGACTTAGATTTCAGTCGAGATTAAGTACCTAGTCTTAGTACAGTAACACTACAAGCGTTCGAGCAGGTATTATATTTGATTACACTTAAGAAGTTCTCTGCATATCTCTAGCTTTTATTTCATGTTTACACAATTTTGAACTTTTAACACTTTAGCATCTGACCCAAGATATGCACAGGATAATATTTTTAACACTCTATATTATTTTATGTTCTTGTCGATATTATTTCTTCCGGTTTGTCCTCAGGAATATCATATCTAACAGGAGAAAATTTCTTGGATGTATTGGACAACGGTGCAGAGTTGTGTCAGCTGGCTGCTGTGATACACGACCGTGCGCGCGACGCCCTCGATCAAGGCCTCATCGTGGGGGTAAGAGACACCCTGGTGGATTGCCACCATGTCTTTAGTAAATAAAAAAACCATATCAGTCCATTCTTAGCTAACTTTGAACCGATATAATGTAAAATATGTAAATTCCATGCATTTAGAATGTTACAGATGTCTCTGTACTGAAGTTTTAGAATAAGAAAAATGTTAACATAAGTTGGATATTTAGTTTATATTAAGTACTAAAAGAAATAAAACTTATAGTCCAGTCATTGAACTTAAAAATAGTGTCTTATCTCCGATTTATGTAAAACTGAATGGATTTGTAAAAAATCTTGAATCTAAGCTCGTCTTACCCATCACTTCAAACCTGACTAAGTAGCAAGTTACATTTTTTGTTTTTAAGGGGTGAAACTACCCCTTAACTTTACAAACTGAAATTAATATATTGAACCACTGAAAAGGCTATAATAGGCTTGTGTCCTACAAGTGAAAATACAGGTTTTTGTTATTTCTTCGATAAATATGAACCATTTTAACTTATAAATGTTTAACAAAACAAATTTTAAGTCACTGATTTGGAAAATATTTAGCTTTGAAAACTTGAATAAAGTAGAAAAAGTCTACTACAAAAATTTGCTAAAATACATAAGGCATTAAATTAGATATAAAAAATGTTACAACTTTCATTATAACAGCTATAAACATAAACGCTCAAATAACAAAGATATTACAAAAATTGTCCAGACGCCCATACATTTTTCGCTACTGTAGCACCGTGTGACGTCATTGAGTGTCTTGAATTTGTAGGGAGCGTTTTCGGCCAACTAGCAGCAGTTCTACAAACACAGCACCGTATCTCCGAAACTATTAATCGCAGACATGCTGTTACTTTGACATTATTTCTCAGATGTTAATGGACTATTTATTTATGAAATAAAAAAAAGGTGTCAACTAGCCTATTATAATGATATTATTGAATATGTATTATTTATATGAGAGAGCTAGTATATTGATAACTAGAAATTATCCCGCATATGGAAACTAATTAAAAAAGATTAAAAACATGAAACTTTTAATTCCTTGTCTTAGATTGGAATATTATTTTTTTTTAATTATTCAACTCTTAAAATTAAAAAGATAACAAAATTAAGGGGTTGAATTTATCAAAATCCTATTCAAGCGGACGTTTTCATCATAGTAGCTCCGATCTTTAATTTCAGTTCAATCAGGCGAAAATCTAAGAAGATTTATACAAACTTTTATCCCCTTAGGGGTGGAATTTATCAAAATCCTTTCTTAGGGGATATCTACGTCATGGTAGCTGCATGTAAAGTCTCAGCCCGATCGGTTTAATATTGACAATGTTTCATACATAATTTTATCCCCTATTTTATCCCCTTGGGAGTAGAATTGATCAAAATCCTTTCTTACCGGATGCCTACGTCATAACATCTACCTACATGCCAAATTTCAGCCCGATCCGTTCAGTGGTTTGAGCTGTGCGTTGATAGATCACTATATCAGTCAGTCACCTTTGAGTTATATATATTTAGAAAAGGTAAAAATCCAATACAAGCCGCGAAAAAAACGATGTGACGATTATGGGCCTAGCGCAGTTTCTGTGAGAGTAACACAAATTTAGTTTAGACGTTTGCAGTTCGTAAATTTTGATGTCAAAGATGCATGTCGCTCCGGTCCCCCTGTTACGGTTAAAATGATGGAGTTACGACGTAGTTGAAGAACTAGGGATTGGTCACAAAACAGTTTTAGCGCATTTCTAAAGGCTGGGTACACAAGAACCATCGATTCTGAACTCTGCTGCGAATAACTGATAAATGAAAGCAATAAGTTGAGAGAAAGAGACCAGAATTAATCAATAGAAGGGGTGTGGTTTTTTGTCATGATAATGCTTGATGTCACACATCTTTTGCCACTCAGCAAAAATTAAGAGAGTTTGATTGGGATGTGTTAATGCGTCCGCCGTATTGTTTTGACCTTGCACCTTCATATTACCACCTTTTGGTCTTTTTAGAATTCTTTAGGCAGTGTTAGGTTAAGGTTAATCACGTGAGGACTGGCAAAACTGCTTGTCGCGATTTTTTGATCAGAAGCCTCAAAATGTCTATAGCAACGGGATCACGTCCCTACCTAGAAGATGGCAAAAAGTTATCAAACAAAATGGCACCTACATTCTTAAGTTGTTTTAAATGTAAATAAACTTTATCAAAATTATTTATTAAAAATGTTTTGAATTTTCATACAAAATTCAAAGAAACTTTTTCCCGACCTATTATATGACCTATAATATATTATAAGATAAGCTGTGCCTGCGACTTCGTCTGCGTTGAAAAGTATATCAGGGGAATTATTTCTTTATTATGGTTGGGATCGAATCGAGTAGGATCAATGGTCCATAACGCAGTACGCGGGCCCAATACCAACTACTGATGCAGCCGGGACTAACGGCTTAACTTGCATTCTGAAGCACGGAGGAGTAAAAGATAATAATGTTTTGGTTATCCACGGCCCTTACGATAGTTATTTTTCTATATTGTTTTTGACTTCTCTCTCTGCTCTTGTTTCTGATCTATTTTTATCGTACATTAGGTATACTTGTATTAGTGATACTTATGCTGTTTTGATTGTTTTTCTTTCGATTTTGATATTTTTAAAATGTTATTTGTTTATCTTTCTATTTGTATGCGCAATGTTATATTGTTTGTCATGTTTTTCCATCCAATGCTAGGTTGCCTGAAAGAAATCGCTGGCTAGCGCTAAGTTTCTTTAGTACTTTAGTTATGAATTATGCGCTAACCTCTAATCTTAAAAGAGGAAAAATTTCATTGTTTTTTTTTTTGCATCGAATTGGTTCCGAAACCACTAAACCGATTTTAAAAATTCTTTCACCTACTGGAAGCAACTTTATAGTCAGGTGACACAGGTTATAATTTATGCGGCTAGTTAACAGTTAGTTAAATAGGTACAAGGCAAGGTTCAAGACAACACCGATTGGCTATAATCGAAACTACTTTCTCGCTCTCTATTCTGCAAAGTCAAAGTTCTTTTAGAGCTCGACCGCATTTCTTCATCAAAGGAAGTTTCAGTCTCAAACAATACTGCATATGTGTAACGATCAGCAGTTAGACGTGCTAAGTTATCTTCAGGAGTTTTTTGAGTTCAAACGCTTTCTGTATGAGTTTACTGAGTGCTCAAGATATTTTCCCTCATAATAAATGCTCTAGATTCGGCTTGATAGTGCATAAGCGATTAAGAGAAAAAAAAAATGATATAACTTGAGTTGTCTTCACTCATCCGAGAAAGGTGTAAACCCACTTTAAATTCTTACTGAGCCAAAGATTCTGTAGGGCGTAACCTGGCCTAAAATTTCCCTACGTCTCGCTGCAGGATGTTCTTAAGAGTCTCATCCTTTTAGTTGTTTTGCAGGTTTGACCTTTTTTCTAGACATTCTTTCAATTAACGTACCTTTTTGGTGAAAGTATCTGCTGAGACGTGAACTTAAATATTTTTTAACGTCGTGGAAATGCTTCTGGCTCTGTTCCTGTTACCCGGCAAGTAACAGGGGGTGAGTAGGACTCTTCTCCGCGAACCCACCCGGCAGCAGCGGAGTCACTAGGACACTCAAGTATTGGACAATTGGAGATGGCAAATGGAGAGGCCCGGGTCCATCGAGAGCCTCTCGCAGACAGGTGAGGCCCTGCAATGCAGAGGTGGCTGCCAACCACCTCCACTAGCCTCGAAGACGTAAACCTAATCTGATATGAATTTACTATCGGAAACCTTATACTACGTGCGTTCACTGTAAACTACTCGATGCTGAATCCCAGCAGCGCAACGCTCTTTTCGCTTGATCTCCTACTCACGTGATCGTATACTACATGTCCATTATAAGCTTTAGCTTATTGTACCTATATGTGATCAATCATATTTAAGACGATTAGTAGTATATCATTGAAATCAACTTACATTGCAGTTTCTAAAATATTTTTTATTTATATTCTTATAAATTATAATTTTACAGGCAATATCAATACGTAGCTCGGTAGCGCAGCGGATAAGCGCCGCTACCCGCGATTGCCGTTGTTAAGCAATTTTTGTATGGTTTGTTCATGGGATGGGTGACCAAAAAATTATTAAATAAAAGCCTGAGCCCCACTGTATGGGGATGTAAAAGAGCTGATGATGATAAAAAATATATCAGAGACTAAAATTTAATAAATCAATTAATTTCATATCAATTTTGGCAAACACAGTACTTCAAATTGATATAACTTTTTATTTATGAACCGATTGTAATAAACTTACACTAAATGTTAACGAAAGGTTACTACAATACAATAGTGATAACTGCATTAAAATCGGTTCATTCGTTTCTGAGATTAGCGTGCACAAACGGACAGATAAACAGACAAAATATTTAAATTTCGTTGTTTTTCAACACCGATCGGTAACGTTTTTATTATAGTATTGGTTGTAACGTTTCTTTCGGAAAAATCTTTAATTTGATTGCTATTTGATGTTGAAACTATTAGAAACATTTTCTACACCAAAAATTGCCTTCAATGAGTCATAAATCGCTTAGTATGAATCGTAACATAAACAAAACTAGTTAATTTCTTTGTTATTATATAAACCATAATATGGCTCTAATATTTTTTTCATATAAATCTTCATATTTTTGAGTTATTCATGAACATTAGTTAAAAAACGTGCGTGTTTTTCCAATCGTGAATAACTTGAAAATTATTAGGTGATCGGAAACCTTTATTCTTTATTTTGAGCTCAAAACAAGATTATCTTTTGACTACTGGGATTATTTTTAATTTTCACTCAGGGTAAAAATGCATGTCGGCACTAAGATAGGTTTGTTATTTGTATCATTTTAGAGCTTTGGCCATATATCAATTTTTTTCGATTCAGTTTTACAGAAAACGGAGATGAATGGACGTACTGTACCTCAACTTTGAATGTTGGTGTACAGAGTATTTATTGAGTTTGTTCCTAGCCGGTGCCTCAGATCAAAGGCCGGTGCTGGCAGCGCGCGGCGCGACGCAGCTTCTTCTCGCGCGACAATGCCGAAAACTTCCTCACATTCTGTCGGGAACTCGGTGTCCACGAGAACCTACTATTTGAAAGCGACGATCTGGGTATGTTAATATGATTTTCCTGGTCACTTAATCAAAAGCAGAGTTAACGGAAATGGAAAATTAAAAATGCTGTCACTAAATTCATTGTACTTACTTAAATGTGCTCGGAATCGAAAAGGTTACTATGATTTAAATTCAAGACGTAATAAGAAGAATATATCAGACGTAATATATCAGACAGGTTAAAATATGCAATATCTTTCCGCAGTGCTTCATAACCAGCCGCGGCAGGTGATATTGTGCTTGTTGGAAGTGGCTCGGCTGGCAGCACGCTACGGGCTGGAGCCGCCGGGGCTGGTGCAGCTGGAGAAGGAAATAGCGCTAGAGGAGAAGGACTCCGGCATCGACGCCACGCACACCTCCTGGCAGTTCAGGGACATCTCGCCCTTGCCTGACAAGTAACCTTTTTGACTTTAGAAAAGCAACATAACTAATTTTATAATATATTAAGATTATTTTGTCATTCAAAACTAATCAAAAGATTAGGTATTTAGGTAGGTATAACTATTACATAGAATAGAAATAATGTTCAGATTTATTTATAAAGTAATTTATTAATTATTCATTACAGATCAAAGGATGTACAACTACCGTCGACATCAAATCAGAATGAAAGTAAGATCTTTATACTTAATTTGAATTAGGCATTTAAATTTACAAAAAAGATAAAACTTAATAATGAATCTCTCAATTGCAGCCCAACTCGCTGTTCCTGACAACGTGGACGCAGAGAGTACCAAATCTGAGGAAACAGTTGCCAGTACTGACTCTGACGTCCCACTGAAACCCACCAACGAATTGGATAAGAGGGTATAAGTTACCTTTGTCAATGAATAAGCAATGAAAATGAAATAAAGCTTTTCCAAAATATCTTTATTATAACGCACCGAAGAATTTAAATCGTAGTACTGGCAAAAACAAGAAACTGAGAATAACGGTAGAAGTTTAAATCTTAGATGATGTAATCTAAGTTTTAAATGTTGTGTAACTATCTTTTAAAAATCATTGTTTAAAATCAAATTACAAAATATGAGAATACTAAAATAAATTCACAAATTTCAGGTTGAAAACATGAAAAGTCAATAAATTGATGCTATTTTCTGTTTCAAAATTTTATGGCTCAATTGTTTTTTAAACAATTGAAAATGCAGTAAAAAGATAGGTTTTTACATATAAACTATTGTTGGTCTTAGAAGAAAATTAATAATTTGTGCTTGTAGGTTTTGAATTGGACTTGAAAGTAACAATCTGAATAGTGAATACTGTAAAATTCAAAAACACAAATTGCTTTCTGGAGGGCAGACACTTTCATCAAAGTATATGTGACAACTCAGTAGGTAGATGTATCTACTAAACCTTAATCTTTAACAGTGCTATTAATATACAAGGTTTAGCGGCACAGTAAATTTACGCTAAAATGGTAATTTAAGTATTCCTACCTTCTGGGAGTAAATGTTTCTGCCATAGAACCTCGTACTAGGTTAATTTTTTTTTTATTTGTTTTTTGTTTTTTTTTTTGACACTGAGAAATGCATTCCACATACCCGCTTCACCCTGCGCGGGCTCCACGGGTTATGTGGGACTCTCCCCTGCGGACCAACCCCAGAATGGGGCTGGTCAAATAGCAGAGGCCTATTCACTAAAACTCAGCGATGTCCCTCACGCGCCAGTAGGGCACGGCATGGGTCCCATACGGGACCATATTCCGCGCGCCTGCCTACGCACGACCCACCCCGTTAATAGGGCGGGTCCCGTCTCGGGTTGTTAGTTAACCTTTGCTAAGTCTATTAAATAATATTAATTTTGATTAATACTAAGTGCAGTCTCAGCGTAAATTTACTCCAACGCTAAATCTAGTTTATTAAAAACACTGTAGATCTTTATCGTAAAAACTTGCTTTCGAGATCGAATTTGCCATTTTAAAACTTATACACTGCTACAAGGATTATACCGGCATTACTTCGAAAGAGTAATTTTTAAGTTGGAAATATCGGAGCTAGTGTTGTTAAAACGATGTTTTAAACTTTTTCCAGGTACAGCTGGTGACGCGGCTGATGGAGCGCGGTTGCAGCTGCAGCTCGGGCAAGTGTTCCAAGCTGCTCAAGGTCAAGAAGGTGGGCGAGGGACGATACAACATCGCCGGCAGAAACGTTTTTATACGGGTCAGTATCAGCGTTCACTCACACACACAACTATCTTATTGCGGACACGATAACTACTGATAATTTAAATTTATTCATATACCTTATCCATCTAATTTAAACTTTTCAGTCAAGAAGTATCCCATATTACACTATCAGTTAACATGACAGTTCTTATTGAAATCATTTTTCCATATACGAGTATTTTTTTATATTAAAAAACGTATTTGATTTTCTGCAGCTGTTGAAAGGACGTCACATGATGGTCCGCGTAGGCGGCGGGTGGGACACGCTGGAGCACTTCTTGTCGCGGCATGAGCCCTGCCAGGTGCGTCTGGTGACCCCCGGCCGTCGCGCGCACACGCTCACCCCCCTCCCTGAACCTCTCCAGCAACCCGACCACGTCCTCTCTCCCGCCAGCAGCAAGACCTCCCTCCGTGGCTCCGGCACCGTTTCCCCCGTAGAGAGTAAGGCTTCCTCTCTCAGCGGCAAGTCTTCGCCGTTAGACAAGCCGGTCCGCCGCCCCGATCCTTCTCGGGAGATCAAACGTACATCGACCCCGGTTAAACCGACGCGAGACCTCAAGTCGACGCTAACTCTGCCGCTGAAAGACTCGAAGATTGTCGGCCGACCCAGAAAGCAGTCGGCGCCAAATTTCAGCACCCCGAGCACGCCCGTCAGCAGCGCACGCACTCCCCCCATGGAAAATAAAAAGACGCTCGCTATCGACGCTGCGAAGAAGACGCGGAGCGCAAGTCTTACGAGCCAGAGAGTTCTCTGCGGTGCGGAGAAACTCGACCGACCGAAGAAGAAAAGCGTCAGCGCGGCGACCACGCCGACGGAGCCGAGGAAACAGCGCAGCCTGAGCTCCGCTTCTACTCCGGTCAATGAGCCGAGAAAGTCCTTCGAAGGGTACGCGAAGAAGACGAGGAGCATGAGCGTTGCATCGACTCCGGAGCCGCTGATGACGATGCGCAAGAGCGCATCCTTAGCGGGACCCGTCCTCACGCCCGCCGCCATCGAGCGCAGTATCCGCCTGTCTCTGGAGGCATCCATAGCCGACGACCATTCCCCCAAAAGACCGTTCCTTCACATCAAGGCTAAATACAGGAGTCCCCCACCACGCGAGGTGCCACCTAGATAATTCCCGCTTTCTCCTGTCTCATTCCACTAATTTAATTTATTTATAAAAATATTTACGTACGTAGAATATAGGCGTCCATAAAAACGCGCCGGCGGCCGTCTCGAGCGATCTCGAATAGTACCTAGCGCGCGTCGATTCAAATCCCTTCTGCAGGGAAACTAGTCATAGTCAATTGTTTTGTAATGTTAATGTTATTATAATAATCGTTTATATAATATAGTGTAATTATAATGTCAATATTGAAGAATTGTTCCCTTGTATTTTAAGATAATGTTTGATAATCGCATTCTTTATTTTCACCATTTATTATTTTCTTAGATTAACAGCTCTTGAAATATATTTACCTAGTACCTATAGATTAAGATGACGGCGCTGACAATTAGTGTCTTTGCACACAGAAAGTTGAGTATCAAATGAAGTGGCCTATGTATTTAGCTATAACTGAGGTACAAATATCATAGTATCCACACATTTATATTTTTTATATGAGACTATGCGAATATTTTTGCACTGACAGTAGATAGACTAGATGCACTAGATCATTTATAGATTGTTTACGTATTTGTCCACACGGCATTGCAGAATTGCTTAATAAAATCATGTACCTACTACGAGTAAGCGCAGCAATGAATGAAAATACTCGTAAGTGAAACCAAAATAGATTCTGCCTTTCTGTATGGATTATCAACTTTAGAACCTAGCTTATTTATTTCACACCATTTAAACGAACTAGTGGTTTCTATTTTCTGGTTATATTTTACCTTTATCAATGTAATGTTGCAATGAGATCTCGGTCATCGTCACTGCTTCACTTAAACCTATTTACATTCTGATGAACCTAAACAGATTGTTGTGTAGGTTACCTCTGAGCACAGGTTGTATATTCTTGAATTTTCTTTCAAACGATCTGCTTAATTATTCCAGCGACTCGAAATTCGAATACTACTATTAAGAAATTAATTAATTAGGGCCCTAAAGCGACTTTGTTATTTAATCTAAAACTAGATCTTCCAATAATTGTATTCACTTATATAGTTATGTTAAATGATAATGGGTGCACATTTTTAACACCGTTCATTCATTTGGTCTTAGGTAGTTAGCATCATTATAAAACTACCTGATAATATAAGAATATTTAGTTGATAAGAGAACTGATACTTACTTCCGCTTAAAAAACAATCGGCATGTATCTTTTATAACACCATATGCAATTTTGAGTTATGGACATTCCTGTTTGTATTTTTGCGCCACCCAGTGAGTCAGTAATTCAGTATGCAGAACACCTTTTTTTATTTCAACCAGTTTATACATTCTGAATGCTCTTAAAGTAAAACGAGGTGGCGGAAAAATGCAAAAATGTGTAAATTCACTTCAAAAAGTCACAGTTCTAAAAGTTGATTCAATATCTCTAGTACAACTGCCTATAAATCAGAGATTTAAATGTTTGCTAATAATTCATCACAAATTATAAACAACAGTTCACAAACTAAACTTTAAGCGGTTGTAATAGGGACTATAGTCACGAGTAGAATGAGACACGACCAAATGTCTGAAGCTTCACTGGTAGTTATAATCAATCACATCAGATGTCTGCAATATTGTGCCAAGCAAGTTTTAATTAAATGTAATGGATGATAATAAAGTTTTTAATATTCGGTATAAAACTGTTTTAATTTTAATAATATATTTTACTAATACGCAATCCCCTCTTGTACTTCGATAGGTAGATGATATAAATCTATTTTTAATGTATTGGTAAAATAGTCGTCAATATCACAAATTAATGTTATATATTCAATTACAATAACATTTAAAGTAATTATTAACTATCTTGTTTATTAATTTTAAAGAAAAGATTATTATTCCATGGACAAAAAAAAAGCTATAAAAATTCAGAAAATGCTTTTTCCAACAATATCACAAAAGTTTATTCATTATTGCAAATCCATTACTGAAACTGCTAATTCACAATCAGTCTCATTTATGTTGCTAAAACATAGGTCACATCCACAATCTCAGCACAGTGCACTCGCAAATTGTCAATATTTTGATTATCAGCATTGGCATCCACCACCAAAGGCAATGTAAGGTATGTACCTGAACATCAACTGCTACTATTTCTTTTAGGATTCACTTAACTATTTTACTACTTCCAAAGCATTTCTTTATTAATATGTGCTTTTGTTCACGAGCATCGGCAAAAGATGCTTTGTAGTGCATTTATTTACGGAACAGCTCATAGAGTTTCCGAAAGATTATTATAGAGATTCAAACAAAACAAAGCTTTGTACCCATTAGCGACCTGTAGGTAATTGTTGCGTTATGTAGAAATATATCTCCAGCCCCTCTAAGGGTAAGACCGCCTAATTTTCTAGCCATAGGATACGACATCTTAGTTATTATTTTCTGTTTCGGGGGGTGGTAGTGGTGGGGAGATTTCCTACGGACCCCGCTGTGGGTTAATTCAACACTGGTCGTATTCTATGGCTAGAGTTAGGCGGTCGCTTTGCAGATCGGTTTCATATATTCAATATGGGACCGATTTTATTAGCCCCATCCCGCGTCTCGTGGAAATGTACCCAGCGGAAGAAGAACAGGATATGATTCGCGCATCCCGAATGTGGTTTGCGAACCAGGGCTCAGAGATTGCAGCGAGCCAATAATATTTCATTCGATGGATGTCTCTCGTAAATATCTATTGGGAAAGTCTCTTCTCCAGCAGTAAGGACGGTGATAATCTATACCTATAAAGACGATATTATAAATGCTCACTAGCAGATTTTTAATTATAATGAGCTCCAGTATAGCAGGCCAGTGTTCACACAGTACCCTCGGACCACATGGACGAAGGTGCGGGTTAGAGATCTTATTATAAAGTTGAAGAGTTTGAACGAATGAATGAAACTTTATTGTATACACCATAAGTAAATGAACGTACATAATAATCTCAGAAACTACTGGTTCGAATTAACAAAAACCGGTTAAGTGCGAGTCGGACTCGCGCACCGAGTGTTCAGTACAAACCTGTAGGTATTCATTAAAATATTTTTATTATATGATGTATCTACAAATTTAAGGTTTTCGCAATTGTTTCTTTATCTGTGCTTTTAGACATTGCTTCATACCAAATTTCAAAATTCTGAGTTCACGGGATGTAAGCTATAGGTTTTGATTCCCTTGCGAGATTTGAAAAGCGGTATAAACGACTGTATCTTTTGATAGCGTTGGTATAGAAGTTTGATTTTTTCACAGCCCCTAGACCTTAGTATTTAATACCTACTCCACGCGTTCCTGTGATAATAAAATGATTATATAAAGGTTCCATTATTTCCTTTCGAAGTACGGAACCCTAAAAATATTTCTGTGTTTAATAGTCCATTTATTGAGGAAAGGTATAGGCTATAATAACATCACGCTATAACTATAGGAGTGGAATAGCAATAAAAAATGTTCCAAAAACAGGAACAGTGAAGCCGCTGCGGAAAGCTAGTTTGATATAGGTATGCATGAAATAATGTTATGTATGATGTTGCGCAGTGTCGGCGGGTAGGTGCGCGAGCCTCCGCCCCGGTGTCAGTGCCGGTGAGTGTGTCGGTGACGCCGCACCGCCGCCGCTACACCTACTACAAACAGATGTATAAGCCCGTCTGCTACCAGCTGCCGAGACCGTTCACCGTGTCACTAGTCTGAACTTTAAACACCACTACAAACGAATCCACTAAAAACTTCACTACATTCATCAACTTTTGTCAACTATGTAATAAAAGAGTTAAACGAGTAACTTTAAAAACGTTTCGTATTACAATGTTAGTTCGGTATCTTTTCTGACGTCCAAATATTATAAAACACTAGTCACGGTCGTATCCATCAGTCTAGCAGCGCAACCCTCTTATATTCTGACATTTATTCGTGCTAACTCACCGAGTCAGTTATTTATAAAATCAATAGCAAAGTTAAGTTGTTCATTCCAATGATCAACGAGTTTTTGTAGCTTTTTCAATTGTCCATATTTTTCGATCGCCTATTTATTAAGTTACTTTCATTAGCTTTATTATAAATAACTTGAACTGTTTTGTTACATATCCTGTCCTATATTGTGTATTTTATAATGTCGTAGACTGGTACAGGTGATAAATTTCAGGTTGTTACAAATTTTAAGGAGTGCGTTTCCTGACTCAAACTACAATATTAGGTCTCAATAATTTCTTTTAATAATCCTAATAAAGTAGATACATTCACAGACTATATAGTATGGGTGTCCCGTCCATGTATGGGAAGAAAAATTTCTAGATATGGTTACGCAATAGGTGTCAAAAGTTGAGTGCACAGATTGAGTGTTGACACATATATTACGATTATCTTAAAAAATGAGGAAGTATTAAAAAAAAACATTAGTTCACGAAATCAAACTGTACGTTCTTGATTTCTCCATGACAACCCTTCCGGTTTTCTTTCATGTATACTCAATAAACAACTCGTATTCTATTTGTACTTTTTCGTATTTGTACCTATATATCTCAGTTTTGAACTTTGCAAATTTCAGGTTTTTTATATGTTAGTTAATAGGAACGGAAATGACTGTCTTTGATCCATTAGTTTCTTGCAAAAATATACTTTTGCTAGAGTCGCCATCTATAAGTGCTTTTTAGTGTCTTCTTTTTTAAAATGTTTCTTCCTCATTATACTCCATTCATTATAACATTAGAAAAAAGGGGTCATAGAAGCAGCAATGCAGAACATTTTATTTTCAAGATAAATTTAAAAAATATATATTACTTTTGTTGAAACTTTGAATGTTAGGTTTTACGATACCTCGGGGTTGAGATGAGGCCAGCATTTTATAAATTCATCTTTTACTTCTAAGCCAACATGGAACTAAAACTGAAACTATATGTCTGTTGTTTTGATAAATTCTAATTGTAAGTTTAATTAGTTAGACTATTGATGAAGACATTGGAAAAACTTTCTGAAATGTCAAAGGTTGAGGGTAGGTATGGGGGCTTAGAGCGTAATTTTTGTAGGCCACTCGGGCCTGCACCGGCATCGTCCATATTTAACAAAACAACAAAAACAAAACAAAAATAAAACAATAACGACTTAATCATGGAAAACGGCAAAACAATAAGAAAGGCAGTAGCATTCATAATGGATGACAATCCCAGATTAAGATTACACTTATGAATAAACTAGCTTTCGCCAGCGGCTTTGCCCGCGTGGACCCTAGGGAAATGTTAAGTGGTGTAAAAAGTATCCTTTTATCTAAGTCAGCTAATACCCTATCTGTATACCAAATTTCATTAAAATCCGTTCAGTAGTTTCGGCGTGATTGACCGACAAACATTCAAACAAAGAAACTTTCACATTTATAATATTAATAATGGGAAATAGGATGATAGTCTGACAAAATTAAAAAGCTGTACTGCCGAAACGTTTGAAGGGGTTAGGCAACGTTTTAAATTTGGTAGAGTTATAGTGATATGAGAGTCGTGCCGAAACTATCCAACCCTGTTTCTTTACGATGAACACTTTTATTGTAATAGTGATTAAATCATTTAAGTTAGTCATATACCCATAAATTTGTTTAATATCTTAAATGACAACAGTTAAGTATAGCAGCTGGTATTTAAGTGGAAATGTAGCAAATTAGTCGTCAGTCTTAAAAGTAACATGAGTATTGATATTTTGTCACAAAGTGCCAAAAAAATAACCTTATTTAACTTCTGTTTAATGCTATAATTAATGGAGTATGGATATCTGTTATCTAGGGGCCTCTACCGGTCCTTAAAGTTTTTCAGATTTCCCTTTTTTGGGGCTCATAACATAAACTATAAATCGATCAAAATTCAAGTTCAAATGGTTTTTAGTAAATTTATGAGTATATAATGCGTCAAAGCAAGGTTTAAAATATTTGAAAGAAAAGTGATGTGAAGTGAGTGGCTATTTTAAAAACGGAATTGGTTTTTTGATCAAAATTAGGCATATCCGTGCGAGATATTTATCTGATCCCAATGAAACTATCCCGAACTATAGCGTCCATGTCGCTACAGTTTGGGATAGTGTAGGGATAGATTAATGTAATCTGTTGCACAGAAGTTAAGCTTTTGTGCTTTAAATACCCTGCGAGAGTTACCTTTTCCAAGTTCAACCCTTGACTTTCTAACAAAGATATGATAGAATCGGCTATCCCTTTGGTAGTGCTACGATTTTGCGTCGTACGACTCAAATAAATAGATCCCGGCTCTGTGAGAACTGAAATGTGCTCTTGCAAGGCTTCTCTGCGCGGGTAGCGATCGCCTATTTTATCTTTTACAAGTGTTTTGTCCTTTCGTCTTTTACTACAATAGTATCAATATATTTCCTGGCCTTACTCCGTGCTTTAGAAACGGCAACATTCGTGCTCTAACCGCTTCAAAATTTCTTGTCTCTGATGTTTTTTCAACAATCTTGTCGTTTCTTTTGTGTACATACTGCTTATTGCCATTTTTCTATCAATTCTTAGGTCCAGTAAAAACTCTCTTTATGAAATAGGAATAGAACTTTTTTTGGTGTTATGCAGGTCCAAAGGTCAAACAAAGTGCACTTACAAGCAGCAATATCAAAAAGCTTGTTCGGCGATTCTAAAAAACACTTCACTTTGCTTTCGCAGCTATCGTAGGTATTTGTCGAAATATGATTTCAGCAATTGCATAACTCGTATATTGGAAACAGTGGGAGTCGAGGTTTTAGTGCAAATCACACAAAGTATTTGAGAAACAATTAAAAAAACTTCAGAGTTAGAAGGATCTTTCCCATTCTTCTGTTGATTCATTTCATTTTTAGTAAACAAAATGTATTTGATAACATCACTTATCATCAGTAACTGGCGATCATCAAGTTCTTTATAAGTTCCAAAAATAGCACAAGTAGTCTCGCCTCGTCTTGAACCCATTATTAACATGTAAGACAAACACGTATTTCAACACAAGAAATTACGGAGCGATTCCTTACAGCAATGACACTGCAATAGAAATGAGACAAACTGCCTCACTATAGAAGTAGAGAATCTGAGAAAAACAAGTCAAAACACGAATTTTGCGAGTTCGGTCCATCGATACATCCACTGTCGATACCTGCAAATAGTAGGTTAGGGCTTCACAATCAATAAAAAAAAAAAAATTATGGCCATAATATATATAAAATAGTATATGCAACATTGACTGGACTGTTCATTAAATTATTTATTATTATTAATAAAAATGCCTGTAGAGCATCAAGATATATATTTTTTATGGTATTTTTCTAGAACCAATAACGCAACTTTTGAGTAGAGAGAAAATAGAAAAAAAAAAATTTCGGGAAACCCTACTATACAGGGGTTGCAGTGTCACAAATTTTATTGAACCGGCATGAGGAAAATTGATTTATATGCATAACCAATACCTAGGACCTGACAGCCAAAACTCTGTACGGAGTAATCTAGGAACACATACCTACATAAAAAATTATCATTCTATTGTTTGTGTTTATTTGTAAGGAAACTCTTGTATGATTTAATGATTTATTGAATACCTTAGTCAGGTAATTTGATTATTAAAAAATTAAGTATAAAATTACATTAAAACTAGGAATGAATGAGTAAATGCATACGGAAACATTAGAATTCTAAGGATGGTTCACATTTTTTTGTTACATCAGAAAATATAAACTTACAGTCGCATGTAGAGAGTGTTACATAGTTCACAAGAGTATTTGAATAACATAACACATCATTTATGTCCGTCCATGAATTAATCCGTCCAGCATACAAAAGCAATTCTAATTATATTTAATACTTTACTAAATCTAGTTATTTATAGGCAAATTTATTATAAGCGATAATTTGATCAGTTCACAATAAACTATTTAAACACAACTATGTTTATTTATTTCAATATACTTCGTTAACTTTAATGCTTGACTATGTCACAATATTATTAAATAATTTAAATCTTGGCATCAATTAATTTAAAACATATTACTATTTATATATTTAATTCCCAATTGTAATTAAACATGGTCACGCATCAAGTTCTTAACCTACCAATAAAATAATGTAAATATATATTAATACATTTGGTACACGCCTTACAATAACAATCACTCGCACATCGTAAATAAATATGGATAATGCATATTTTATTAAATCATTAATGTGAAATTAATTAGATATTACATTACAATCTGTCTGTTTCATTCAAGATTTGATATTGTTCCGATTAGTGTTGCTGTTCAACACTCCACTATCGATACGCCGATATAAAATCAATAGTATACTATCAACACGTTACTAGTGATAGTAACGAAGTTTACCATCGTATACACTGTAACATTTATAGGTTCGATAATCTCCATGATTTGATAATTAAACATCGATAGTGCGGTAAAAGTGCGATATTAAAAACGTAGTTTTAATGACACAAATGGACGTACAAAAACTGTACTAATAGTTGTCACCTAAAATTATGACGAATCTAGCAAGCTACACGTTCAATATAAAAATGTAATAACTGCGTTGATGTATCGAGGGAATCTATATAGCAGTGTATGATGATGTTACTTCTTCTTGGACTTGCCGAGCGTGAGCGTGTGGTGGTGTTGTGCTGCTGCCTGCTTGCGTCTGTTGAATTCAATCGCGTCGTCTTCTATCTTCTTGCGAAGCTCTTCCAAACGTTTCTTCTCTTCTGTGTGATCTTTCTTCAAGCGATCAAACTTCGCATGCAGCTGAAAGAAGGAGGATAACAGTTAACTAAATATGCACTCTCCCACATTTGGGGCATATACTTTCTGTACAGACAAAATTACAAAAGGAAAATGAATCATAATGCATCTGATGGGTACAGTGCAGACTGGTATAACGACTTCAGTACTCTTAGAACAAAAACTATTGAGCTTGAAATAAATTCGAGTCTACCACATCTGCCAATTTTTTCTCTTGTACAGTGTCACCAACATTGATATATAATGAAGATTCTCAATAACAAATAAAATGGTTGAATACGAATTTGCTTCATATTCGCACTCAATGATATATCATGCTATGGCTATTGATGCAGTGGGTTCCAATAGTTCAATAGTCTACTTAATTAAAATTTAATTACTTAGCAACGCGGAGAAAATATATGAATCCAACTAAAAGAATCATTCCATTATATTGCTTTAAATAATGAATATGACGATTCGCGCGAAATGATATTATTAATGACGCTTAAAGCTATGTAAAATGTGAGCTGAGCATCACTATTTATCTGTTGCATTACCGGTATTGCCATCTGTCAGTGAGTTATTAATATTGATGTCAGATGGCATTCGCGCCTATATACCGCTGTTTATAGATTGTTGTAAATCCAACTGAACAAGAAAAAATTATTATTACACACCTCCTTTTCAGCCTCTTTGAGCTCGGCCTCCTTCTCTTTGACGCGCTGCACGAACATCTGCCGCATCTCGTCGTCCTTCTGCTGCAGCTCCGCCACGTGCGCTGCGCGCTTCTGCTCGAACGTCTGCTGGAACGATACCTGTCCAACACACGCAAATATATCCATTAACTTCAAAACTAATAGACGTATTATATTATATTAGATTAATTTTACATTCACAATGATATACTTTTTACTTTAATTAGAACAAATTTTCATCATGATCGAAAGTTTAGAAGATTTACCAATTTCAATATTTCATATATATCTTTCGACTGTTTGCATTGCTTGAATTCTGCTGAAAATACGTTCACTCGTAGCGAAAAGCAACATGTACTTCAAAATACTTCTGTGATATTGGGTCTCGGGTAGCTCAAAGGTTAGAGCTGTCGCCCAGATCCCGAAATGTTCTGAATTTGAGTTCTATCTCTGAATACTTGGGACTGGTGAATTTTTTAAACATTTTTAATTTAAGATAATAATAGACATATTAAAAAAATGTTCACCAGTAGGAAACTACATTATGGGGATGGCTCGGTGCATATCTGACCGTAGATCACGTATATTTCACGGTTACGTTCGATTCGTTTCATTTATTAATTTATTTGAAACCATCGATACACATATTTTTGTGATACGCTCCACGGATCTTGCGTCAAAATTGCACTGACCGTAAGATAGGCTATATCTATTAATTTCATGCCTTAAATGCGACAACGGTTGCTCATAGAGTCGAATAAAATCTAAGTTTTAGAGACTGTTGGCCATCTCATTTATTCTGTTATAGCTTACATATAAGCTACTAGGTGACCGTGCGAACTTCGTGCCATCTTATCATTAAAAAAGGTAATAAAAATTCATAGTATAAACAAACTCCGTGAATTGAGAACAAATCGAGTTAGGAAGGTGACACTTCCTTATGAATTCGTGTACTTGCGCTAATATTGTATTATAAAATAACATCAAATAATATATATTACCGGTTTATTGTCAGCGTCGACGTCGGTGAAGCCCATCTGCTGCAGTCGGCGGCGGCGGTACAGCTCGTAGTGGCGGGCGTGCGTCTTCTCGCGCATGTCCTCCATGTTGGTACGGATCAACATCTCGCGCAGCTTCACGAAGTCGCAGTGGGACTCGTTCTCCACTAAACACAATACACAGTAAGATACAACTGATGTGACTCGTGACGTACATAGGCAGAACGCTGAATGGAAACGCGGCAAATGTCGACCAATCGAAACGATTCAAGTATGCCGTCATACGGCGCACTACCAATATCCAAGCGTTTGATTGTGAGCGAGTTTAATGGGTTGTATCTTACATCTTATGATTATTGGAACGAGACTCCCTAAAAATTTGCTGCCTCATCGACAATGTTGACACATCTGCTCTGCGCAAATGATGATTCATCATGTGTTATATTAATTAGTACGTCCTTAAACAAATAAAATTAAAAAATCAAAGCTAGTTGACACAAACTGACCCTGCACGGTTCCCCAGGGGTATTGCCTAGCGCGGACGGTCTTGTTCCCGATCTTGGCGAAGTCAGTGCTGCCCACTACGGCGAAGGGGATGTGAGAGTTCATCGTGCCGTTCACCTCGGACACGGACTCGTCGTCCACGGGGAACTGGTAAATCTCCACTCCGTTCGCCTGCAGTTCTTGCATTATCTTCGACTGAAACATCCATAAAATCATAGTAGTCGTGTTTATGTGATGTAAAAATAAATAAAGAAAACCTTAGTTTCAGATATTACATTTTCGCTTAGCTCAAGAGACGAAAAAATTCGCTGAGCGGACGGCAAACCTCCAATTATGGAGTGCTACATGAAGAAGAATTGATCTTTCGCATAGAAATAAAAAAAAAATAAGTAAATGAACAAAGGACAAAGTAACAGATGGGAAATGTAGCCATAAAGTGATCAGCTCGCCTATACTGCTAATGTTTATGTTATAAACGCATCTCAATGGATTCTCATATACTTGCATTTTGAAATTGTAGTATCATAGAATTGTATACAGTATGGATTGCTAAAAAGATAAAATATGTAGAGTAAAATTTCGAAAGGTACATGAACTATGAATACTAGCGACGTACTGCTGAGCATAAAATAATGCTTCCATGATCAAGTAGTAGTGTCAAGATAAAGCCATAATTAAAGTCCTGGATTTGATACAGAGTTAATAGAGATAATAAAGTTTAATATTTATCTTTTGCATGCACTCAATTCAGTCATTTATCTAAGGATGAGTATAAAATGTAATTGTTTATATGAAGACAGATTTTCTATTAGTGTTAGCCTAATAATGGTATTTCAAAAGTGTTGATTGCTTTCCTGCCTAAATGATTTAAAGGTTTAGTTATAAAAATAAAATTCATTTTCATATATTTGTTATAACATCACTACATCACTGAAATTGTTCATGGTTCATGTTCATTCTAAGTACCTTAAACTTCTGTAGTTCAGTTTTGGAGATAGTATCAGCCTTAGCGATGATGGGGATGATGTTCACCTTTGTGTCCAGTTTCTTCATGCAAACTAGATCAATTGATTTCAACCCATGACCTGTAGAATAACAAATATACAAATGAGGGATATTATTTTTCTATTTAAAATTCAATTCATATTTTTATTATTAAAATTCACAATCTTTGTTAAAATATGATGAGTATGAAGATAAGTAAATATTATTGTTCATAATTTACCTACCTTAATAATTATTTCTATTAATTTCTTTACTCTGCTGATAACAAAATTTCGTCAAGCCAGTATAAGATTGAGGGAAACAATATTGAAAATATTTTTAGCTTTCCGATATTCATTACAATAATTCATATTTTTTTCAACAGACAACGAAATGTACGATTTGAATTAAGGCGTAGGTTGACAATTAATATAAACATGGCAGCATACTACGTACGTATGCCGTGATACCGTTACACTATACTCCAGAGAAGCATGTCAGTCAAATTCGAGGACAAGTCAGTAAGGCGCGCGCGCGTCCTGAATACGTGCTTGGCCATGTCAAGGACACTAAATACAACAACATATTCCTAATACATTAGTGGGAGAAAGTTACTACAAAACCAACGATTGATGTCCACCTAACCCATCATTAATTTTACTAATATAACAAATGCTTTTAAATAGATACACTTAATACTTTTTCCTCTGTTATACGAGTTTTGTGTTAGTCACTGATTGACACACACCATTACCAATGATAAGTTAAAAGCTAACAACTCATTTAGAAATACAAAGGTCAATCAAAATAATTAGTACATTACTATGCCTGCACAAAGCAAATAAAATATTCATGGTATTGCAATTTGGTAAAATATCAATAAGTGCAGGAGTTTAAACACACATTATCTATTTCAAACTATCTGACCAATACTTGTGTGTAGGTAGGTATAATGAACATTGATATTTAATGAATCAAAGTCAATGTACGTTAAACATCTGATTTATATCCTATTTTAAACACTGCCAAGTTTGTTTATTCTTATAATATACTAGCTTTCCGCCAGCGACTTCGCCGGCGTGGTCTTGTATTATACATAAAAACCTTCCTTTTGAATCACCCTATGCATCTAAATCCGTTGCATAGTTTTTAAAATTTAAGCATACATAGGGATATAGGGACAGAGGAAGCGACTTTGTTTTATACTATGTATTGATTCTATAATATACACTAATTATATAAAGAAAAAAATTGGCATAATTTATCGACTCAAACTATTTGTTAGTCATTCATGTCAATTATTAAAATTGTCATTTACCAAAGTGAAGATTGAACTAAAATATGGCTTAAAACAGATTCTATAGTTTAATGGGTATTAGAACTAAGGTAAATATCAAGCTGCAAGAGATGAGCACAAAAGGCACATTTCAGGCCTATATAGTATGAAGCAATGTCAGGCTGCATGGTGACCATATAAGACTGTGCTACTATCGTCTTCATTTTCACCCAGAATGAATTAGTTTTTAATTTCTAATATTATCTATAATGGCTTATTATACTTAGTCAGTTTGTATTGACACATGTTTTACCGGTCGGGCATATGAAGTATAAGCAGACATGCAGCCTGCTGTCATGGTATGTGGGCAGTGAGCGCTTGATCTTGAGCTCTTCCTGGAGATATGCCTCAAACTGAGCATCAATGTAGTCCACTACTGCCTTAAAACTGTCCTCCTTATTTACTTGATCTCCATACCCCACAGTGTCACAGATCGTAAGCTAATAAAAAAAAAATAATATATAAACAAAAATCCAAAACTGCTACGTAAAAATAGTATTTAAAAAAGTTATAAATAATTAAATAAAAATGTCACATATCCCTTGCCATTCCATCAGGTGGCAGGTATATTGCATAATGCATTCATTTCCCTGGGGTCAAAAAAGGGTGGTTCAAATTTACTTACACAAACAGATTTGGTGTTAGTCATTAAAAACATAGTAAACAGAACTATACCTTCAATCTCACATTGCTCTCCTGCAACTCATAAGTATGAGCCTTTAGTTTTACTGTTGGCAAGTTGTGTGGACTAGGAGTAGATTCGAAATTTGTATTGAACAATGAGTCCATCAAGGTGGACTTGCCCAAACCCGTTTCACCTAAAATCATTAAATACTTTAAGGAATGTTTATGTTAAATTTGATGACAACTGTGATGCTGACTTTAATTTATCATTGATTGCAGAGCTATGTTGCAATATATTTTTTTCAGCCTACTAAAACAATAATTTTAACCAGTGAATCTTGTGCAGTTACAGTTAAAGCTGTGATATCACCTAAATATTGCAAAATGGTGAAAGTCATTATTTTGCCAAATCGGTACTTTAATATATTTGTTTTTGTTAAAGTTCTATGATTAAAGTTAAACATCATGTAATATTCTTTTCAAACTTGTAACATTTTTAAAAAACAATGGCAGCTATATGTCACTCTGTCACAATAAAACTTGTATAAACATGATATCAGCGGGATCTTGCAGGAAGCGCAATTGAGCCATATAGAAAAAAAAAAAGAAATACCACCCGGTTTTTGTATTTAATTAAGTAACAGCAATACTTCCTCCATTTGTAGTTGGTTTTTAAAATAGTATTGTTTTAGTTTTTCATATTTTAGCTTACTTTAAAAAATAATCTGCAGGCGTTTACTCCAAAAATATGTATAATCGAAACTGTCTATTTAGCAAATTTATTTTTCAAATGTCCTTGGCCCTTAATTACACAATTTAGTTCAAGTATGATGATAATTAATAGAAACCCACATTGCATTTTGTGGAACAGTAATGTTGAGACATAATTTAGGCAGGCACAGATAAGCCAGTGTAGTGTGGGAGATTAGTAATGGTGTTACATTACATACAAATGATTCACCAAGTACTCACCAATGCAAAGTATGTTGAACACAAACCCATTTTGAACACTTTTGTTCACCAGCTGATCGGGCAGACTGTCGAAACCGACATGTCCTGATAGTTTTAACGTACGCAGTGATGGTTCCATCTAAAATTAAATCGCAAAACACCTAAGTGAACGAACAATATTATATCGACACAAACCCACAAGTACACATCGAAAGTCATGACTGCTACTAGAAACAATTGTTTATTGTTATCATTCTTCTGTCAGCATACAAGGAATGTTTTCATTTTGTTTCAGGTACAATACGAGCTAAACAATACATATACTTTCTCGACACAAATTCTGATTGTGGAGCAATGGGTGCAACGGGTGCAACGCCCTCGGTTTTTGTTTCAATAGGCACAAATTCAATGCAAAGTATACTGTACTATAACAATATGGTATATAATCACTACAATAAAAATATAAATACATTTATTGAGCTACTACTAAAAAAAAAGAATTACTTACTTTAGGAAGTTCAACGTTAAGCGCCGCCATGATCGAATTTTGACTGACTGACTGAAGAGAATGAAGTTGTAGCAATCCCGCAGTTTGATAATTAGCTACAAATACTGCCAACATCTAGTGATAAAAAAAGTAATCAGCTCAGATCCTGAAAAGGAATAATAATGTAATAATTATTGTTGATCGAATGATAAAATTATTTAAATAATAAATTAAAAAATATTTATAACCGTATGTTATTACTTTATGCATCACACGTTTTACCCCCTTTTTTGTCTTATATTTGACTTCTATCCTATCCAATTTATACTGTTGGTAGCAATGAAACAAGGCTTTGGTGAGAGTTGCCACCTTATATTCTAAGTACCTCATTTTGCAGTAACCAAGAGGGTAATCAAAATTTCGTGTTCCGTGATATAATAAGATACTTTAAAAGTTATTACGAAAATATATAAATTATGTAGTTTTCAATGTTTTCAATGTATAGTTTTCAATACTTAAATAAAAAAACATATTTTTTTTTATACAAAAATTTAAAAACTTTGATATTTGATATAAATTATTATTATTTTCATACAATTAATATGATCGAAGACATATTTCGAAATTTAATATGTATATCACTGCAAAAAATATGTATAATCATTTCATTTAAATGTATGAAAAAAAACGCGATAGAAACAGCAGCGACACAATACGATACAAAAATGAGTTTGAGAAACATGGATAGGGTAAGCCAATTCTTATTTTTTTAGGAGGGATTAAAATCTAGTGAAAATTTCTTACGTTCTAATGGATAACGCTATTCCAGCAACATTTTCCATAATAATTCCATAAAAGTGTACTGCAAAATTATTTTTGTAATGGCAACATTGACAAGTTCCAAAATGGCAGAATGCGACTTTGGAGTGTTATCATGTGAGCCGAAGAAATAATGTTTTCTTGAATAATTTGCTCGCGTGCGGTTAAAAATATTGTGTATTTGTGAATTGTGACAATAACAATCATGGCGGACTTAAAATCGCCGCCGTTTAGTGATATTAAAAGACCTGAGGAAGTCGTGAGGATGACGACGAACGATAGTCTAAAATTCGCAGTCCTTATCGGGTTGATTGAAGTTGGCCAGGTAACCAACAGGGAAGTGGTGAACACCGTGCTTCATTTGGTAAGCTATCAAACCATCCCATATTTCATCACATGTTAAAGCTTTGGGCAATCGTGGTTTTCTTATTGGAATCGTCTTGGAAAGGTTATCGTACACATTTTTACCATTCCGTCCGATTTTATTATGTTGTATTTATTTTATGACTCGTCAGATTCATGGCAATATAATTGAGTGTTAGATTATTAGGTGTAATCGCCTTGTAAGCGTAGTAGCGCATTATTTTCATTGTTTTTATCGATCGCGTTTGGTCGTGAATCGCGGATCGTGCGGCGAGTTCACGCTGGCCGGCCGTGTTTGTTTTGATACTGCCGGCGATAGACCTGTCTTGGAGGACCTGTTCTTTAGACAGAGATTGTGAGATTCTGTTTATTATATAGACACATGGGTAAAATAACCCGTATTCTTACGAATATATAAAATTTAGAATTTATGTTTATGAGCCATGTATGACACCACATCGATAAACACTAATATTCAGTTTTCTAATATTGTTATTGATTATAAGATCATATTTTGATGCTAGTACATAGTACGCTAATTCTTATTTGATTGTAAGGTAGGTGATTTATTATCATTGTTACACTATGTAAATAGAGGGTATACCTTTAGTATTTGATTACGTATTCAGAATGATTATAACAAACAGCAATAGGAAGGAAGCTTAAATTTTATGATGACAAACCACGCTATCAATTTATGTGACACTACCCTAAAGGGTTGTTAGTAAATTGAAGATATCGCAAGATATTGAAACAGGTAAATAAAATGTTATTCATTCTATCAAGAAAGTACCGGAAGTCGTATTTTTCAAAGTTCACGTAAAGGTATTTTTGATAGGCAGGTATTATTTTTTAGTTAAGTTAGCACAACTGTGCTCCATATTCGCGAGGAGTTTGAGCTTTTATTCTTTCTTTATAGTGCGCCGTTATGTCACTTCATCGTAAATGTGTTTGCTATTTATAAAATGGATTAAAAACATCGATCAAGGAATCTGTCTTAAATTATGCATTGTGTATGAAATTTCATGTGCTGAAGCGCTGAAAATGTCGCATAAGATTTACGGTGGATACTGTTAGTAACTGTTACTCCGTGATCATAGCGGTTGCAACAGCGTCGAAATATTGGAAACTCATAAAACATAAAGTACATGGTAGCAATCCTGTTTTTAGCAATCATTTTGATGTTACAAACAACATATTTAATTAATTTGGATAAATCGTACATATTTTTGCTGCATTGACCAATTATCTACCAGTACTTCCTTGATAGTGCAGTATATTTTTGTAGGTTATGTACACCGACTTTTAAGTAATTAAGGCTTAAACTTGAAATAGTCAAGACAATTCAGTTTATAAACAGGATTCAGTAATAGGTACTGTAAGAACTTTGTAAGGGTGCTTTGAAAACCAGCATGCTGTTATAAAATCGGGGACACTACTTAAAAATCAGGACATCTCGGTACATCATAATGAAACATCCTAAACATAACATATCGAGTGGCAACTCTGTTGTACCTTGAATGAGTTGATTTCAATTTTTCAACCTCCAAACTTAAAGATTAAAAAGCTATCAAAGACATCATATTGTATACTAAAAAAATAAACAAATAAACTAAGGGTAGCCCAATGTTCAATAGCCAGTTTATTGACAACAATCACTTTAATTGTACTACCGTAATACTACCTGTTTAAGGGATAGGTGCTTGAGAGATATTAAAAAAAATAGATTTACATTTTAGTTTTCATTATTTTTTGTAAACAAATCTGATATCGCGGTTGTACATTACGAATCACTTGGTGTGCAATGTAATTCATCAAAAAACTTTTGTGAAGAAATCATTTGGTTCCTAGGCAGCAATTGTATGTCAAATAAAAAGCACGCCATCGTAATCAGAGCGCGAAATTACGGCGATGATTTTTAGCTGGACCTATGTAACTAATATTTTTTTGGGATTTCATACCTATTATAAAATAGTTATATATTTTTTAAACAGAATTCATTAGAAACACACAAACGAGAAATTATTCCTCATTGTACCTTTACTAGCTTAATCGGAATCGAGTCTCGGAACTCGCATATGACGACCCTAAAGCCATTGTACTGCGTAAATCGTACAATCATAGCACTATTGTAATATATGCTTTATTTAATTAATATTGATTAAATGTTTCATTGTTTTCCCTTTATCTAAAATCATTTTTGCATTATTAAGTATCATAAATGGCAATGATCATTCACCTCATTTTTTAAGATCTCGTATTCAATGCCGCCGTCAGCTGTAACCAAGTTGAAATGATTTCTTAATTATGACGCAGAAATCCTACTGTTCCTGGTCTAGCGATTAACTGGCGTTTAAAAGAAACGTGTCAGTGTCCATCGAGAATTAGTAGTTGCATAGCAGCGTGCGATTAGGAAATTTATCTACCGAAGGTGCGTTGGAGTTAATCAGAACTGTCCTGATCTGAATCATAAATGTTTGCCAATTAAAGCATTGTATGCACTAGCTATCCTTGCTGGTCGTCCATGCACTTTGCATTTGTTATTACATTTTGCGCCTGTTATAACTTCGTTACCCAGATAGTCATTACGCGGTTATCGTTTTGATTCATTCGCATCGTTGAACAGCAGGAATGGATAATTCGTAAAGGGTTTAATATAGGTTTACCAAACAATACAAAGTATGTCATGTATACGTAATATGTCAGGTACGTAAAATATAGGAACAACAGTATGCACCGACTCCTTCAGTAAACAGAAATGAACTGAATAGTTAACTACTTTATCAAATAGGTACTTAGTTTTTGTTTCGTACCCAAAGGGTATCAGTAATAGGGTACTGAGACAACACTGTCAGTCGGTAATACTATTATATCGGCATAGGATAGATCCGATTCCATTCATGGGTGGTCAACTGGCGATAAAGTTAATTTGATCTTTTTACGACGATTCTCTTCTGATTATGGAAAGGACATGAGGTTTATGTAACTCGATCCAGTGGTTTGATCCAGATGATAATAAGTGCTCTGCAATCGCGGACTTCTCCACTTGACGATTTTTGACCGCTGCTATGTGTTCTCTTACACGTTCGGCGATAGTCCGCTTCGTTTGTCCGATATATGAACTACCGCAGCTGCAGTCAATTTTATAAACGCCAGGTTTTTGGTAAGGAATACTATCCTTTGGTGATCGCAATTGGTGTGACATTTTTGATAAAGGAGTAAAAATGGTGTCTATAGAAAAATTTTTCCTCAAAATGGAACCAATTTTGTCCGTTACCCCCTTAACATAGCCTAAAAATGCCCGTTGCCTGGGAACCTTAGGTAGTCTTTCCTTACACCTTCGGATAGGGTATGACCTCCTTGCGCTGTATCCATTTTTCCTTAGCACGTCCTGTACATGGGACAACTCATCTGCTAAGAAGTCAGTATTACATAATGCGTTAGCCCTGTTAATAAGAGTTGTCTCCACAGAACGTAGGTGTTGAGGATGATGATGAGATGAAGCGTGGAGGTACTTGTCTGTGTGTGTTGGTTTCCTGTCAGACAGTGTGTTTCAGGGACCCATCAGCTTGCGCCATGACTTTAACGTCCAGAAAGGGTAAGGTTTTGTCACTCTCGTAACGCATAGGCGCACTTGAGATTTGGATGGATATTATTGACGTGTGTAAGGAACTGCTCAATGTCCGGTTAGTCGCCCTTCAGGATACAGAACACATCGTCTACATACCGTTTCCACATAGGGATCCGCATGTGGAAACGGTATGTAGACGATGTGTTCTGTATCCTGAAGGGCGACAAACCGGAGATTGAGCAGTTCCTTACACACGTCAATAATATCCATCCAAATCTCAAGTGCGCGCTACGAGTTAGAGCGTGACAAAACCTTACCCTTTCTGGACGTTAAAGTCATGGCGCAAGCTGATGGGTCCCTGAAACACACTGTCTACAGGAAACCAACACACACAGACAAGTACCTCCACGCTTCATCTCATCATCATCCTCAACACCTACGTTCTGTGGAGACAACTCTTATTAACAGGGCTAACGCATTATGTAATACTGACTTCTTAGCAGATGAGTTGTCCCATGTACAGGACGTGCTAAGGAAA